GCAGGGAGGCCGGGCGGAGCGCCCAGCCCTGGAGGCGCCTGCATGGCGCCGTCAGCTGTCGGCGGTCTTGCCCTTCGCCCGCGCCTTCTCCTTCGGATTGGCGGGCTTCTTCGGGCGGCGACCTGGTTCCTCGGCCCCCGCCGAGCTCGATCCCCTCTCGTACTTCTTGGCCTCCTGCTCCTGCTCCTCGCGCCAGAGCCTCTCCTGCTTCAGGATGATCCTGCGGTTCTTCTGCTCCTCGGCGATGAATGGGTCGAACTTCGAGGTCACCACGCCCCCCGCGTCGTCCAGCTCGCTGCTCAGCATCAGGTCGAGCCCCTCGAACGTCGGGTGACGCGGGCAGCGCTTCACCGCGCGCTGGATCTGCAGAGCCCTCCGAGCCAGCAGCTCGAAGCTCGCCAAGTTCGTCACGTCCACGCGATCGAAGACCAGGGCATGGTGCAGCACCTCGAGGATGACCTTCAGCTCGAGCGAGCAGCCGCTCTGGCGCGAGACGCCGGACTGCTCGACCCAGTAGCCCCAGTAGGCGGTCAGCGAGAGGCCCGAGGCGTCGACGCCGTCCAAGAACTCCTTCAGCGCCCTCGGCCCCCGGAACGGCCAGCTCGGGTCGTCCACCGGCCGCAGCGCCGCGAGCACCACGCTGAGTGGGGCGCGCTGCCCGCGCCCAGGCGCGGGGATCGCCAGGACCCGAGGGTCGCGCCCCGGCCCGCGCTGCTTCTCGGCGCGCCACTCGGCCTGGTCGTCGGCCTGGACGTTCTCGACCGAGACCCAACCCGTCTCGTCGTCGATGAGCGCCAAGCCCACGGCGTCCTTCGCCACGAACCGGTCCGGGTTCGACACCAGGCCGGCCTCGATCTCCTCGCCGAAGCCGTCGACCGCCGGGTCGGAGATCACCCAGCGCGCGACGAGCGCGCCTGGCGGACCTGCCGGTGCGGCCACGCCGAGCACGCGAGCCAGGTTCCTCCCCTCCGTCCTCAGGTGGCTCAGCGCCTCCTCGTCCAGCGCCCCGAACGCGTACACGTTTCCCCGCACGCGCTGGGGGAAGGGCGCGTTCCTTGCCAGCGCCACCACGAGGTGGTTCGCGAGCCGGACGAGCAGGATCTCCCCATCCGGCGTCGCGGCGAATCCACTCTCCGGCCGCATGGCCCACCACGATCAACAGCCGGTGGTGCCACCTGAAGTTGTCGTCGTCGTCGAAGTTGATGCAGACCTGATTCTCGGCGACGTCGAGCGTTCTGGCCTGGGCGGCCATCACGCTCTAATTGCACGAAAGCGCGGAGGCTGGCCGACGGCCCGAGCCTCGTCCGCGCCAGAGCGCCCGCCGTACTGGCCAGCGGCCACGGCCCCAACGGCACGCTCCAGGAGCCGCCGCAGCGCCGCGAGCCCGGTGCACACCAGCAGCACCAGCAGCACGCCGACGAACAGGCCGAGGAAGAACCCGACCTCGAAGCCCCAGCCCTCGGCCGGGGCAGGGCAGGCCTGCGGCGCCTCGCGCGCGCAGGCCGGCGAGGGGCAGGCCGGGCAGCTCAGCTTCGGCACGGCCGCCGGCGCGGCGCACGTGAGCGCCGGGCAGCCCGGGCAGCCCGGGCACGCCGGGCAGGCCCCGCAGCGAGGCTCGCACTTGGCCTCGACCGCCGGGCAGGGCGGGCACGCCGGGCAGGGAGGCGGCCGCGCCACCCAGGCCGCCCCGAGCTGCCCCAGCCACGGCCCGGCGACGCGGAGGGCCCCCAGCATCCACCGCGGGGGCCGGGGGGAGGCGGAACACCCCCGATCAGCTTTTGAGCCACCACACCACCACGGATCACATATGATCAAGAGGCTCAGCTACAGGAAAACGAGTCGACCGACAATACATGCAGTCGTCGTAATAATAGGAGTTCGACTCAACGTCGTCAGTACCGTTGCCACGATCGTCATCGGAATAGTAGTAGTCGTAATAATAATAGAAGTCGTAGCCAACGACAGTAAATTTTGAAGAAGTGCCCGAGCCTACGAAGTCGTTAACCATCGGGTCGCAAGCAGCACCCCCCCAAATGCCCAATTTCACGAGCGTCCAGTCGTTCGGTACCACCTGCAGAGGCTCCATGACAGCTTTTGGCCACCCAGGAGGGAGGACCGCATCATCCTCCAGCACGAGATAAACAATAGTCCCTTTGGGATCCTCGGATAGGATCTTCTCCCAGACCAGCCGGTGGCTCAGCGGGCACGCAATTGCACCCCACCTTCCTCTGAGTCCTGGGCAGACTGTTATGTTCTTGTCGATGTAATGGTCATTCCACTCCCCGTCGGCTATCTCCTGGGCGTGCACGGCCGGGAAACGCTCGTATGGCACCCCAGACTCGTTGAGCTGTTTCTCCATGAACTTTCGTCGCTCTGGGCATCATGCTGGCAAAAGGGTCTGTTTCGTCGTCCACAAGGCGGCGGACTGTGCACGAACCTCAAGGGAGACTCCGATTGCTTGCGATATCGTCTGGCAGCGGGTGCCTCCACGCGCCGCTGCACAGTAGCGCCTCCCTCGAATCGTTGTCCAACGATGCCTGGGACGCGCTCAGATCTTCGCAGGTACTGTTTGGCAGCCCTCCGCTGAAGGACGGCCAGCGAGCAGAGCCAATCTCGCCAGGATTCAACAAATCTCCCTGCGCCGAGATGCAGGCTGCGGCGAACGGTGGCCAGCTCCCGGCTGGAGACATCGCTTTCGTGAGCGCGATCTTGATGCAGGACCCTGGAGCCAAATTGGCTTGAGCCAAAATGGCTATGGATCACCTCTCGACTTGCTTGATCACACCTCGGGCACCAGCCGAGCGGGCCTACCCGTGACGAGCCCTTCCCGTGACGACCCGCTAGCCCTCGAGGGTCTTTCCCTCCACGGCGAGGCGACGACTAGACGTGATTTGGCCGGCAGGGGCAGCGTCTAGAAGGGGACTCCCGAGGCTTAGATGATGTTAGAATGCTGTTGCCTGTTTTCAAGATAGACGTTGGTTTCCGATGTTTTTTCTGCTTCCCCCGCTTTGGGATTCACGTTCTCGCCGTTGTCGGTTTGGCCCCGTGTTGTGATGCCATTGTTGTGTTCTGTTCCGGGCAGCCGCTTTTTCCCGTTTTGGTTGGCCACTTTTCCCCGTTTTGGTTGAACACCAAAATTTGAAACAACAACACATGCGGCATCGACCAGAACGCCCAGGCATGCGGGGATCGGCGGTGGACAAATCTCCCTTTAGTAAACCTCCCCTCAGTGAAAACGGCCTGGGAGCGAACTCGACGGACCTGGACCCGCAAAGAAGGAAGGCCGCAGCGCCCTCTCGCGAACTGAAAACGGCCAATTCGCGAGTCGACGTGTCAGGGTAGGAGGTCTATCATTGTGGATGCCATAACAATGGACACCCTAACAACCCTATCATTGATTTAAAGGTGTTTCAAATGTGTGAAACATGTTCCAAGCACGTTTCAAGCATGTGTTTATAAATTTAAAACATGCTTGAAACATGTTCTTGACATCAGGAGATTATTTGGCAGCATGCGTCCTCTCCATTAATCGACTTCCACAAGGGTAGGAGGTCGACCCACCTCCGAGGGGAGGGGCCCCGAGGGGCGCCGCGGCGAGGCGGCGGCGTAGCGAGGCCCCGGCCGCAGGGCGGGGGAGGGGGAGCGAGGGGCGGCCTCGCGGGCCGGAGGGCTCCGAAGCGGGGGCAGGGCAGAGGGAGGCTGCAGGTGCGCGGTCGCACGGATGCGTTCCGCGCGGGGCACCTGACTGCCTGCCAGACCACCCCAGCCCAACCCCCGAAGACCCAATTTCGGGTGGGTGGGGGGGGGGGGGTAACGGGTGCCAGGTGTTTTTGTTCCATGTTCCCCGACCCCCCCACCCCCACTGGAAGTGGAGGGCAAATTGAGGCCTTCGGGTTGGGTTGGGGTGGTCTGGTGGGTGGTGGGCATCTGCAAACAGAACGCCCCGCATCCGCGGGGCCGCAGCCCGGGGGCCTGGCCCGCGGGGTCGCGGATACGGACATGTTCTTCGCGCGCGAACCCTTGTGAGGAGAATCCTGGAGGCTTCTCGCGGCGGCTTGAGGCCCAATTGGCGTCGGGTCGAGGACGGATTCACGTCGGATCCACGACGGATCCACGTCGGATCTACGTCGGATTTACGTCGGATTTGCGTCGGACGTACGTCGGAACGTCGCCGCACGAACGTCGTCCCATATCGGACGGGGCGGACGTGTGGACTAGATAATGCAACTGTTGCGCGTCGTGCGAGGCCTCGAGGATATTGCTCATGAGGATCCCCTGCGCCCGCCGCCCGCCTGCCCGAGTCCTCGAGCGGAGCGAGGGTGTCGTCACGGAAAAGGTCGATCTGCCGCACGATAAGAAACAAAGACATTAACATACACTTTTGAAGGTCCGCGCGTATCTCTTGCATCGGCGCTTGAGGCGCCGCCAGGTACTACCCGGCGCAGATCCAAGAAAAATCAACCGGACCTTTGGAAGTTTGCGTTTACGCCGTATGGCTTTCTTTGATGCGTCTTTGGGCGCTCTGGGGAGCCTCTTGGGCCGTCATGGAGCGATCTTGAGGGCCTCTTGGGCCGTCTTGACGCGATGAAAACCCGAAGCAGCGAGAACACGACAGCTCTCCAAAAACTCAAGGTAATGATCAGTTGCGCATCTCAGGGGCTTCCTGGGGGGCCTCTTGGAGCCCTCTCGGGGCGTTGTGGGAGCCTCTTGGGCCGTTGGGCGTCGCCTACGGTGGGGGGGGGAAAGGTGCACTTCTCGCGCCCCAAAGGCCCCCTCTTGGGCCCTCAAGGGCCCCTCGGGGGGCCCTGAAGGGCCCCTTTTCTGCAGCCCTCGCTGCCCCCCTCTGTGGGAGGAGGAGGAGGAGGAGGAGGAGGAGGAGGAGGAGGAGGAGGAGGAGGAGGAGGAGGAGGAGGAGGAGGAGGAGGAGGAGGAGGAGGAGGAGGAAGAGGCGACGCCCAAGGCCCTTCTGTGGCCCAAGCCCTTTGGCCGCCCCCGTGCACCGTCCGCCGGCTCCATGTCCACTCGCAGGCCCGCCGCGGCCGTCGCGCAGAGGCCCTCGTCGCCCGCGCGCCCGCCCGCCCGCAGCGAGCCGTCGGGCACGCGCTCGGGGCCGCGGCTCCTGGAAGCCGCCTCCTCGCCACCGCCTGAGGCACGCAGAAAGCATCTAGACACCACCAGCGTGCCAGGCCAGGGCTATCCTGGGCCCTAGGCTGGCCGAGGCCAGGAGGGTCTACACACCATCCTGGGGCCCGGGATGGCCCTGGCCTGGCACGGTGGTGGTGGTGTATACACGCCTTCGTCGGAGAGGGGGCACAACTTCGCGCTTCGCGCTGCGCGAAGCGCGAACAACTTCGCGCTCTCGCGCCGCCGCCCAGGGGAGAAGAGGAGGATAGGGAGGAGTCGGAGCCGAAGCGCGAAGCGCGAATAACTTCGGCCCTCGGGGGCGCCCTTGGAAAGGGAGTGGTGAGGCTTCGGGCTGCGCAAGGACAGCCCCCCCTCAGGCAGCCCTGGCTGGCCTCAACGGGCCCCCCGAGGAAGTCCCAGCTGGCCTCAACAGGCCCCTCGAGCAATCCGTGGCGGTCTCAACACCCTGGCGACGCCTCCCGCGGCCCGCCTGGGGTGCTCCGCGCCACAAGGTGGAATTGTTGAAACCGCCTTGGACTACTCGGGGGGCCTGTTGAGGCCAGCTGGGGTAACTTGGAGTGCCTGTTAAGGCCAGCCTGGGCTACCTGGGGGCGTTGTCAACGCGCAACCCTAAGCCGCACCAAAAATGGGGGATTGGCTCAGCGGGGAGAAGCATTGACTCGGAGTCGGCGGTGCATCGCCGATCGATCGGCGACATGCCCTCGGCAGCAGAACCGCAAGCTGCTGAGCGGGAATGGGGGCCCCACGCCCCGATCGGCGATGGATGTGGTGGGCTTGTCCTCCACCACCACCACCATGAGCCATGAGTAGGAGGGGGAGGGCCTCCTCCTCCTCCTCCTCCTCCTCTTCTTCCTCCTCCTCATCCTCCACCTCCTTCCCCCCTCCAACTCATAGTGGTGGTGGAGGGAAACAGGTCCATCATGGATGGCTGATTTAGGGCCGATGCTCCCCCCCTGGGGCCAGTCCCACCCCCCGTCTGTGCCCCCGACCGCCGCTCGCGTCCGACACTGCGCGGGGCGTGCTGACGGCGCCGTCCGGCCCGACTGCGGCCTCGCTGTGCTCGAAGCGAGCCGTGGTCCTGTCGCCGCCAGGGACGGGGACCTGGGCCCGGTTCGCCTCGCCGTCGCCGCTCGTGTCCGACACCACGCGGCGCGTGCTGACGGTGCCGTCTGGCCCGACTGCGGTCTCTTGGTGCTCGAAACGAGTCGTGGTCCTGTCGCCGCCAGAGTCGGAGACTGTGCTGGAGGAGCTGGAGAAGCTGAACCCGAAGCCGCTGGCGATTCCGCTGAAATCGAACATGGAGCCCAAGCCCCCCACCACGCGGTTCACCTCCTCCGACATCTGCTGGAACACGGAATCGACCTCCCGGGAGGCCTGCTCGAAGGGATCCGCACCGCCGAAGAACTCCTTGAAGACGTCGTCCGCGCTCTGAGCGAACTCGAACTGGAAATGCGCCACGCCCGCGCCGTCCAACGACGCGTCGTACCTCGTGGGCGAAAAACATGTCCGTATCCGCGGCCTCGCGGGCCGGGTCCCTGGGCCGCGACCCCGTGGAGACGGGGCGCTTTTTCGCAAGTGCCCCGCGCGGAACGTATCCATGCGGCCGCGTGTCCGCGGAACCGCGCCGCGGACCGCGAGGGCGCGAATACAGATATGTTCGCCGCTCGTGAGTCGGGCGTTGCTTAATTGGGGGGCGAGTGATGTGGAGGGGGGAGAAAAGTGCACCTCTCGTGCCCCTGTGGGGCCCCATGCGGGCCCTGTATTGTCCCCCTCATTACGCAACGCCCGAGCGAACCCCCATCAACCAGCGATTCTCCTGAATCGATGGGAGGCGGGGGTAGGGCTCGGATGTGGACACGTGTTCGACGAATTCCGAACCTTGCCAACGCCGCCCGTCGAGTTGCTCGCATCGCTGATCGGCGAGGGGTAGGTTTCGGAGTTTGCCGCCGATCGAGAGTGCCGGGCCCGCGCGCCCGGGTCGCTCAGCACCTCGTACGCCTCTGCCAGCTGCCGGAAGCGGCCCTCCGCCTCGGCCCGGTCGCCGCCGGCCTTGTCGGGGTGCCACTTCAGCGCCCCGCTCCGGTACGCCCTCCTGATCTCCGCAGCGTCGGCCCCGCGGCCCACGCCCAGGACGTCGTAGTAGCCCCCCGCGGGCGCCGCAGCAGCACCCGCCAGCGCGGCCACCAGCACCGCGGCCCAGCCCCAGGCGCCGCTGACGAGGGCGCGCCCGGGCGGCAGCGCGCGCGGATTTCCGGGCCGCCTGCCCGGCCCAGCTGGCCGCCCGCGGCACCGCACGAGGCCCGCGCGGCACCGAGGGTTCGGCGATGCTGCGGCGGCGCGCATGGCGCCCGCGCGGCCGCCCGCCCCGCGCACTCTGGGCCGCCGCCTGAGTTGCGAGGCGCGGGAAGAGGAACACGGGCGGGAAAGGGGGGATGCGGAGGAAGATGGAGAAGTACTGGAGGATGAGGGGGACGACGGGGGGGGGAAGCCGATGATCTTTGTTGGCATCCACTGCGTGGCTGTCTGTGGCCTCATCTGGTCGCTTTGGGAGCCGCCCACTGAGATATGACGAAATCGAGAGTCCGACCAGAGGTCTCCAACCACTTGCTGGGCCACGGAACTAGCTCGAGCAGGTGTTGTTGAGACATTGCATACAATGTCCACAGTGAACCCCACCCGTTGCTTGCTCTAAAGAGGGTGGCGGCCCCTACAAAGAGCCTGCCAGCCAGACTCGGTGCAATGGCCAGGGGGCGGCTTCGCTGAAATGCGCGGGCCACCAAGAAACTTAACACACCTCCAGGCGCCTGACCAACACTCCCAGCGGTAACCAAAGTGATCCACCACAATGGGTTGGCTGGCTTCTGGCGACACCCACAAGAAATCCTGACAAATCAAGCATCAGCCAAACCGGCAGCACGTTCGCCGCCACAACAAACGCAAACATTGAGGTCATGATGCGGCGACACAGCTGATGAATCTCCGCCTCTGTCCGAGCTTGGCAGCCCTATCAACCTCATCACTCCAAGTGCACCTCCAGCGCTCATTGGCACTGATGCCCACCTCGTGTCGGTCTAAGTGGGCTTTACCTTCTCGGCCGAGCGAACGAACTCCGAACCGAGACGATACATTATCATTAGGTCCGCCAGGGGCCGCTTGTAGCTGAGCTGCACTGCGGTGCTGCTGGCGCACTGCTTGACAACACATTCTCGCAATCGCTATACTATGTGGTAGTGCCTTCGGCCTGCATACGATCTCTAGCACCCCCAGCGAGCCTGGCACACTGGGACGTCTGAGTGAACGGTGAGCGCACAAAGCCAAACAGGCGGCCGACTCTGCTTCCCTTGTCGCTGAAAAGCGCAAATCTGGAGCCAGCTCTCGACAGTTCTGCAATCTCGTGCCTGCGGCACCTGCCATCTACGAACACGTCACCTGCGAATCCTGGGGCCCCGGGCTCATCCCAAAACATCTGGGCCTGGAAAACTCCATCCTCAGAAGCGGGACGAGGGCAAGAATCCCAAGGGTGGGAGGACATGCCCCTGGTGTGAAGCGACAGAAATTCGGGGCAAGACAGATCCCCGTCAGCGGCCTCAGCACTCATATCAGGTTTGCCTACCAGCTTGGCAGTGGCAGCGCCAATGGCGGTGAATCTCAGTGTCCCCGTACCGTCCACACAGTGGGTAAATATCTTCGACCTGCTGGTACCCAGCCTTGACGGCCATCGAGTGCGTCCACAGTGCCTCGCAAGTAAGACTGCGGATCGACCCCTTCCCTTCGGCCGAATCTTGGACGAATGAAGCATGTCCCTGACAACGTGGAAGCAAAGCCGGTCACACCGAACTCCGTGTTTTGCAGCCGACCGTCTCGCTTTGAACTAACATAGATGCCTGCTGCAACATCTTCTAACGCACGCCGAACGCAGTGGCCGTGAGCTGCACCGTCTCACCAGAACCATTCACACACGTCAGAGACGCAGTTATAGACCATCGAATTCTATCCAAGGGGAGCTGCATGGCCGAGATGGGCCCCCTGACCTGCCTCCACTTTAGGGCGGCATGAGAAAATCGAATCCCAGCCTACGCGCGACTGCTCCCTAGTCAAAACGAAGGGCAGGCGCCAGCGCACAGCGCCCAAACCTCCTTTGCATACCTGATGATGGCAGCCACCTCCCCGTACCAAGATGGGTCGCCATTACAAATCATGGTGGAGGTGGGCGATCTGCCTTGAGCTCCAGGACGCATAACATTGCTGGCCGGCTGTCTTACTTTGATCAGCTCAAACTCGGAAAACCCATGCGCCTCAGCTCCGTAAAGGGCCCCAGGGAACCTTCCAGTGATCCGAATCCGCTTACTGAGAGGCAGAGGAAAGAGGGGGAAGGGCAGGGCAGCAACGATACGCCGCCTGAGTCAGGCGACGCCCGCGGTGGCAAAGGAGGCGAAAGCCTCGGAAGGGAGGAGAAACCAGCGCGCGCACTCACTCCCGAAAGGTGGGAGGAAGCGTGCAGGCACCTGCGCAAAGTCTCTCCCGCACAGGCCGAGCAACGAAAACGGGCGGGCGGGCGATGATGGTGCCCTGGGGACACCAGCACCCGATGCCCAAGCATGATCGGAGCTCGCGCCCTGCCAAAACCTCGTCGCGGAACCAGCGATGGCGCGCCGACGGCTCGCCTTGACAGGGCTTGAGCACGGCGCACCAGCTCGGCGACTCCACTCTCGCATGGGCACCACAAGGCCTGCACAGGATGTGCTGGCCAGCAGCCTGGACGGTGTGTCCAAGATGCTCGAACGCCTCTGGTGCTCGTGCGGACGACGCTTAAGCTGGCTCGCAACCCAAGGCAGCCATGGCGACACGGACAGCATTGCTTCGCGCCCTACGCAGGATGCCTCCATGCCTCTCCGCACGCACGGCTGCCGATGGAGGGGCGACGGGTCGCATATGGCGCCTGGTTGCTCCAGCTTCAGTCTGGATATCGCCGTCTTGGCCGAGCTGCGGCACCATGTGCCACGCACCCCTCCCCCCAAGGACCTCCTCGAGGTCATGAGACAGCACAACAAGTTGGGCCAAAGGAAATTTCGGCCTTTTGGGTGGCCTGACCTCCCAGACCGAAGCGCTGGCCACCAGCTGGGCCGCCCGAGAGAAACAAACATATGTGATGTGAATCCATCAAACTCTCTCGCACCATAGTAACCGTCGCCTCCGAAACCTGGATTCGACCAGCTCCCACTTTAGCGAACAAGTCGTCCCAAGTGTTCCCCAGGAAATCGAAGACCCTCGAAACCACAGAACCCTTGGAGAACACTTGTCATCCCAGGGGGCGTAGCACACGCGTCAAGTGATAGACCAACGCTTGTAAAAAGTAGGTTCTAAAATTTGCGCCGCGCGTTTGAAAACGATGGTTTGATCGCACTTGCACGGCCAGCTGCGTCGCCTCCCCGGCCATGCTCCAACGCGTGAGTTAGATTATGGTAACTTGGCCCATGTGGCGATGCTCGCTTGGTTGACCGCGCGTCCAGACGATGCTCAGCCATGCTTGGGTGGCCAGTTGTCAACGCCTCGCGCATCCCCAGCAACTCATCCCAAATCCATCGCCAGGCGAGCTCCGCTGACCAGGGCTGCGTAGCAACATGCTATCACGCTCTGGGGTCTTTTCGGAGGCATCTTGGGGCCATGGGGCCCTCTTGAGGCCAGTTTGCAAGCCATGTGGGCTCTCTTGATGCCCTCATGAGGCTGTCTTGAGCTCGCTTGGGGCTAGCGGCCCCTTTGGGCTCATCTTGGAGGCCATCGATCAAAGAGGGGTGGGTCCAATTACGCTCCGCCCCTCGAAAGGCAGATTAATTGCCTCTTGGGACCCTATTGAAGCGCTCTCAGGGCGCTGTTTTGGCTCGTTCGGGGTCGCCTTGCGTGCCTCTCTGGGCTCGCTCGGGCCATACTGGAGGCACCTGGAAGCCCCGCGGAACCCATCCAATTTAACAAATCACGTATTTGCATGTTGCGTCCGAGTGATGATGGCCTCCCGGGGGCTTGTCCGTGAAGCTCCACGGCAACAGTTTCCACTTTCGGATGGGATTGGAACTCCTTGGGCATGCTGGAAGCTATATTGAACCATAATGGGATGTACTGCGCGATGTTGGAAGCCACCTCTGGCCAGCCCAGGCCCTCCTGAAGCCGCATTCGGGCCATCTTGGATCCTCCGACGATCCGCGGAACGCTCCCTCCAGACCCAGGAAGACGGGGTAGGAGGACAGCGAAACCTCACCTCGTCCCAAAAGAAAGAGAAGGTTGGAGGAACTAGCTCGTTAAAACCCCTCGCCCCGAAAAGCTTGTGGGATTCAGTTGCTATTGCGCGGTGCGGTCTCCAATGCTTTTCCTCATCTGCCTCCTTCTCCCCCCCTTCTCCTTTTCACTTCGGAGCCACGATGCCGCCCAACTCGCCCCTGGCGTCGGGGCGCGGGAGTTGCCGCGCGCGCGTGGCATCAGACGCATGGCGCCGCATCGCACGCCCCCGCCTCTGCCTTTCCTTCATTGCTTTTCCACCCGCATTGTCCCTCTCGTCATTGTGGACGCCCGACATGGGTACGGAAAAAATGAGCACAATGCCCAACAACAAATGGTGTCCCAAACCAACAGCGGCCGCTGTTGGGCAGGCGGCCTTCTGTCTCAAACGGACACAGCCGCGGCGGCGCGGACAGCGAGTGCTGTTCAGAATGAAGAGGAACTGCTGTTGGGCATTGTTTCCATTCTTTCCGTCACCGTTTCGTTCGTGCCGAGCCATGCTCCTGGGGTCGCGCGGCCAGGGTGCGCCCGGGAGCCGGCGCATCTGCCCAGACCCCGTCACGCGCCCGCGGCCTGCCCGGGGCGCTGGGCGGACGGGGCCTGGCTCGCTGCGCTCGGGGACCGGCTTGCTCCCCGGGCCTTGGAGCATTCGCTGCGGCGTGAAACTATGGCCCCTTCGGCCAGTTGGGAACTGCGTGGAGAATTGCATGAGAAATGAGGTGAAAACTGTTGTAAAAAAACGTTGAACACAAGGTCGCCTCCGTTCAAGCGCGGCGGGTCCTTTTTTCAGCGAAAGCCCCCTCCATGTTTCAACCCACTGCGGGTTTTGCTTTTCAACCCACGGAGGGTGCCATGGTTCAACTCACGACTGGTTCATTTTTCAACTGGCTGCAGGGGCCTCAAAAGGGCGAGTACTCCTGAGTTCAGGGGGGCAGGCAGCAGGCGATTTGGGCGCCTGTGTCAGATCACTGGGGGCCAGTCGCAAGATGTTCGCCACGCGCGCGCGGAGTGCCTTGACGGGGGGCGGGGTCTGGGCAGATGCGCTGATCCGTCTGCCCACTCTGGCTCCCCGACGCCGGGAAAGAGATGGGGAGGGCAACGGGGGTGGAAGAGCAGGAAAGCACGCGGGCGCGCGAGGCGGCACCCTGCCTCCGCCGCCGCAGGTGCAGGCAGCGGCACCCGCGCCCGACGCCAGGGGCGAAATTGGCGGCGTCGTGGCTTCGACGCACAAGGAGGCAGGGAGGAAGGACACGGAGGCAAACAAGCAAGAAAACACGAAACCGACATGCACACTTTCAACCGGACCGCACTAGCCCTTTCGGGCGTTGGTGGTTTAGCAAGCTCGTGTCTCCGACCTCCTCCTTCTCTCTGGGGGGAGGTGCCGCTCCCCCCGCCCCCTCCTCCCGGGCCTGGAGGAAGCGCTCCGCGGGTCGATGGGCGGTCCAGGATGGCCCCCAGACGGCCCCGAGAGGGCCCCAGCTGGTCAAAGATGGCTCCGAACATCGCATAATACAACCAAACATTGTTCAAGACAGCTTCCAACGCGCCTCCGATTTTCCCCAAGACCGCTCTAAGACCGCCCCAAGATGATTCCAAATGGCCACTGAGCCCCCCATGGACGCCCTCCAGAGGCCAGAACCTTTCTCCAGAAACCAATACAAGTGAAGGTCTTCTCTCGCCTTTTCGCTCCCAATGGGCTCTCGAGCATTCGAGACGGCTGCGAGATGGCCCGAGCGAGCCTCAAGATCGGCCCGGGAGGGGCCCAAGACGGCCTCAAGAGCGCCCACAAGCGCCCCAGCAGGGCTCCCAGAGGCATGTCTTCAGCCCCCGAAGGGGAGGGCGCAATTGGCAACCCTTCTTCTTGGATCGACGACCTCGAAGATCCCAAGCAGTCCCTCCAGGCCCCCAAAAGAGCCCAGGATGGCCCTCTGAGGGCCCCAAGAGAATCCACAAGGCATCCAAAATGGCCCTGGGAAGGCCCCAAGAAGGCCGCGAGAAAGCCCCGACATGCTTCAAGGAGGCTTCCAAAGCGCGACTGCATGCTGGCCACTGGTCAGGGCAACTCGCCTGGTGAGTATTTTTGGATGGGCTGGTAGAAATACGCGGAGCGTCGCGAGTAAACCGCATGGCTTGCGTCGCAAAGTCTTTATGAAAGCCCATCGCCCCCAGCCCTCGCGAGACGCTGCGTTGCGCTCTCTTGAAAAAGCATAAGAAACGGATCGCTTCGAACGCGGGCGCGCGGACGACGGTCCCAACCCAACAAAATCCGCCAACGAAGAATATGATTGAGATTTGAAGCAATGTTCATTATGCCAGCTCGCCTGGCTGAAACGCGGCACTGCAACAACGCTTCGAGCGAGCTGCGAAACTGCGCCCACCCGAGCGCTGGCCCCTGTAGGCCGGCCCTCGTCGAGCCAGAAAATTTGCCCCCAAACGCTTGCACGACTGCTGATGCCTCGCGCTCGGTCCCGGCACCATCGATTGCCCTCGTTCACGGCCGAGAGGTGGTCAGAAACTACTGCAGCCCCCCTAGAAGGCCGCCCAGAGCGCCCTGAGGATGCCCAGGCGTTCGGCCCTCGGCGCCGTCTGGCACCTCCCGCTACAGCCCACAAGCTAGGGCTCGAAGTGGCCAGCCGTGGGCCGAGAGCTGCGCGACTGACCAGCCACAGCGGGTGACCTCGAGGGTTCCGTTCGCCTGGCCACATCCGCCCGCGCAGACGCGCCCACCCCGCGCAAGGCGAGTTACCCCCCGGGAGAGCAGGCAGAGCCATCGGGACTGGGCCGAGGCTCGCGGGGGAGCGCGCGCGCCAGCCTTAGGGTGTCAAATTCGGGCGGGAGCTCCCTCGCCGAACCCTTCAACTACGGCGGAGGTGCTAGATAAGGATACCTTCGATAAGGAACCCAGGGTCTCGCGACCGATGGGCGGCCAAACGTGGGCCACCCACGTCGCCTTGAAACAATAAGGGATGCGCCAAGGTTCGGGCCCCAGGAAGACGCTCCTTATCCAATGCCGCCGCCGTATCTTGGAGCGGATGCGACGCCTCGGAGTCATCACCCCCTTGTTACCACACCTCGTCGCACGCGTAAAATAATGGCCACAAGTCTCGGGCGTCCTGCTTGCAGTGCTGGCAACGGCCATTATCAGTGAAACCGCCCTGAGTTTCTAGCGGGCGGCCAAAGCGCGCCAGCTATCAAAGCCCGCAGAGTTCGTTCCCTTACGCGCAGGATCTCTTGCCGAATTCACCCAGAGCCTGAAAACTCAACCCCAAACATGTTCGGCCCCGTGCGCCTCAAGAACAACTGCCCAAATTTGCTGCACCCGGGCTCGCGCGATGCCCGGCCTAAAATCGCCAGGGGGGTCAGAAACAAAGTGAGGGTATCATCCCAAACATCCGACGTCTCGATTTTTTCGAGACATGGGCCCCCGACCTCCCGACCACTTCCCCGGGACCGGTTTTTCATCCCGAGGCCCGGCGCGGGCCCCGAGAGGCCGAAAACTACGAAAAAACTCCGTCTCGATTTTTTTCGAGACGCCCGATGTCTGGGATCATGATCATCATGGTCCGTCGGGGTCCGGCGCGGCCCTGCTACTTGCCACCCTTTTCTTTGCACAAGCTCAGAAAAAAAGGGGGGGCAAATCAACTGCGCCCGCGGGCCCTCGGACCGGGCCCCGCGAGAAAGCAACTGACTCGCCCGGACCCAGGCCTGCCTCAAATCGGAATTTGCAGCCCCGTTGTCCTGTGCCCCAGACCCAGCAACAATGCCGAAAGACTGCGGGGGCCGTGGCGTCCACGACTAGGTCGCGGCAGGTATCCTCATGGGCGCCACAAGAAGGAGGGACGTGAACGCGCCCCTCAGCACCCACAGCTCCGCAGTCAGGGCCCTCAAACCAGCGCTGAGTCCGACGTCCCCGAGACGGCGGTCCGGCGACCCCCGCCGGGCGCGAGCCCAGTCCTCCAGAACGCCGCGGCCCTTGCGCCGGCAGTCCTCCTGAGGACTCGGAGCTGCCCGCAGCGAGACTGCAGCTGCTGGGCACGGCGTTTTTTTTTTTTCTATTTTGCAGAGGACTCGCCCCCGCGCAAATCGCGCCCTAGATGTCGTATGCGGCCATGGTCGATCAGCCCTAGCATGCGCGCCGACAGATTAAGCCTCTTTCTCCGAAGCGCTCGACTGGGCGAGATATCCTGACTTGTTCGGCAGCGGCCACAAGACCTGTGGGCCCAACTTTTTTCACGGAGAAACCTCGCAACCAAATTAGCAAGCCTCCGAGACACTGGTTTCTTTGCCTTCCCGCGGCAAACAGACGTCGCCCATGGGGGCGCGAATCTCAATGCTGGCGAATCTCCGAACAAATCCAAGCTCAGGGGCTAACGGGGCCGCCAACATAAATGCGCGGGCGCGCGAACACCCCGCCTAAATGCCACGGAATGCAGCATGCGCATCCGAGAGGCTTCCGAAAACGTCCCCTCTTTTTTTTGGTGGGGGGGGCATGTGGCATTGCACGAACGTCCACCCTAGGCGGAGAGGGGGGCCAACCTAAACATCTGGAACAGTTCAGTCAGCACAGTCATGTCATCGCGCTTGGCAATGTCCAGCGGTGCGCCGTTCCAGCGGGCGCCCCTGGCCCCGGCAGTCTCCGCCGACAAATTTAAATCGAACTCTGAATCGGTGGAGCTCCGACGCTCCCCGCCGCCCCAAACAAACTCCCCCGTTCTATTGACCCGCTCCTAGCTCTCACGCCACGCCCTGCCCCAAACGACGACGGGGGAATCCAGGGGCGCTATCAGGGGGCGGCCACCACTCGGCTTGCCTGGCCCATTAAGTTGGGAAACAAATCTTTCGGGAGGCCAGCTCTGACATGTTTCACGCTGCCGCAGCAACACAATCATGACTTCGAGAGGCCCCCCGAAAGATAATTAGCGACCGAGAATGTTTTCGACAGCGCCCCGCTGCAATCCTCTTTGAAAATTATCCCGGCAAAGCAACCTAACAGCGATGTGTATAAGCATATCTGGAAGCATTCCCCTTAAGATTCAGGTGAGAATCCAGTTGTAGAATTCTGCTGTTCTCGCAGTCGCAGTCGCATTCGCAATGACAGTCGCAGTGGCAACGGCCTTAGGATCCAATGGAATCCTAAGGATTCCTAAGGCATCCTTAGGCATCCTTAGGAATCCATAGGAATCCTTAGGCAACCTCAGGAATCCTTAGGAGTCCTGATTCCCAGGGATCCCTAAGGATTCCTGAGGAATCCTAGGGATTCCTCGGGATTCCTGAGGATGCTTTTAACTATGCCTACGGATTCCTAAGGATGCCTACGGATTCCTAAGGATTCCTGGGGATTCCTAAGGATTCCTATGGATTCCTACGGATACCTCAGCCTGCCTCAGTTTCAGCCTCAGCCTCAGCCTGCCTCGGCTTGCCTCGGCCTCAGCCTCAGCCTGCCTCGGCCTCAGCCTCAGCCTGCCTCAGCCTGCCTCAGCCTCAGCCTCAGCCTGCCTCGGCCTCAGCCTCAGCCTCAGCCTGCCTCAGCCTCAGCCTGCCTCAGCCTCAGCCTCAGCCTCAGCCTCAGCCTCAGCCTCAGCCTCAGCCTCAGCCTGCCTCGGCTTGCCTCAGCCTCACCCTCAGCCTGCCTCGGCCTCAGCCTGCCTCGGCCTCAGCCTGCCTCAGCCTCCCCTGCTCCCCACCCCCTTCCCCACCCCCATTCAGCCTCACTTTGTCTCAGCTTCGGCCTGCCTCGGCCTCATCCACAGCCTCAGCCTCAGTCTCAGCCTGTCTCGGCCTGAACCTGCGTCGGCCTCAGCCTCAGCGTCAGCCTGCCTCAGCCTCAGCCTACCTCAGCCTCAGCCTCAGCCTGTCTCAGCCTCAGCCTGCCTCAGCATCAGCCTCAGCCTCAGCCTCAGCCTCAGCTGCCTCGGCTTGCCTCGGCCGCAACCTCAGCCTGCCTCGGCCTCAGCCTGAGCCTCAGCCTGCCTCAGCCTCAGCCTCAGCCTGCCTCAGCCTCAGCCTGCATCAGCCTCAGCCTCAGCCTGCCTCAGCCGCAGCTTGCCTCAGCCTCAGCCACAGCCTCAGCCTCAGCCTGCCTCAGCTTCAGCCTCAGCCTCAGCCTGCCTCGGCTTGCCTCAGGCTCAGCCACAGCCTGCCTCGGCCTCAGCCTCAGCCTCAGCCTGCCTCAGCCTCAGCGTCAGCCTCAGCGTCAGCCTCTGTCCTCGGGATTCCTGAGGATGCTTTTAACTATGCCTACGGATTCCTAAGGATGCCTACGGATTCCTAATGATTCCTGGGGATTCCTACGGATTCCTATGGATTCCTACGGATGCCTCAGCCTGCCTCAGTTTCAGCCTCAGCCTCAGCCTGCCTCGGCTTGCCTCGGCCTCAGCCTCAGCCTGCCTCGGCCTCAGCCTCAGCCTGCCTCGGCCTCAGCCTCAGCCTGCCTCAGCCTCAGCCTCAGCCTCAGCCTCAGCCTCAGCCTCAGCTGCCTCAGCCTCAGCCTCAGCCTCAGCCTCAGCCTCAGCCTCAGCCTCAGCCTCAGCCTCAGCCTGCTCGGCTTGCCTCAGCCTCACCCTCAGCCTGCCTCGGCCTCAGCCTGCCTCGGCCTCAGCCTGCCTCAGCCTCCCCTGCTCCCCACCCCCCCCTTTCCCCACCCCCATTCAGCCTCACTTTGTCTCGGCTTCGGCCTGCCTCGGCCTCATCCTCAGCCTCAGCCTCAGTCTCAGCCTGTCTCGGCCTGAACCTGCATCGGCCTCAGCCTCAGCGTCAGCCTGCCTCAGCCTCAGCCTACCTCAGCCTCAGCCTCAGCCTGTCTCAGCCTCAGCCTGCCTCATCATCAGCCTCAGCCTCAGCCTCAGCCTGCCTCGGCCGCAGCCTCAGCCTGCCTCGGCCTCAGCCTGAGCCTCAGCCTCAGCCTCAGCCTGCCTCAGCCTCAGCCTGCATCAGCCTCAGCCTCAGCCTGCCTCAGCCGCAGCTTGCCTCAGCCTCAGCCACAGCCTCAGCCTGCCTCAGCTTCAGCCTCAGCCTTAGCCTGCCTCAGCCTCAGCCTGCATCAGCCTCAGCCTCAGCCTGCCTCAGCCGCAGCTTGCCTCAGCCTCAGCCACAGCCTCAGCCTGCCTCAGCTTCAGCCTCAGCCTTAGCCTGCCTCGGCTTGCCTCAGGCTCAGCCACAGCCTGCCTCGGCCTCAGCCTCAGCCTCCTGCCTCAGCCTCAGCTCAGCCCTCAGCCTCAGCCTGCATCTCAGCCTCAGCCTGCCTCAGCCTCAGTCTCAGCCTGCCTCAGCCTCAGCTCTCAGCCTCAGCCTCAGCCTGCCTCGGCCTCAGCCTGCGTCAGCCTCAGCCTCAGCCTGCCTCAGCCTCAGCCTCAGCCTGCCTCGGCGTGCCTCAGCCTCAGCCTCAGCCTGCCTCGGCCTCAGCCTGCCTCATCTCGGGCATTCAAAATATGGCATAGGACTGCTGTTCTGGGAACACGAAGATCACGAAGTGGCCCACAGCTGGCTCCGGGCAAACAAAATACAGAACACAAATTTTGTAGTGGGAACACGAAGAACACGAAGTGGCCTACAGTTGGCTCCGGGCAATCAAAATGTGGCCTGGGAGTGGTGTTCTGGGAACACGAAGAACACGAAGTGGCCTACAATTGGCTCCAGGCATTCAAAGGGTGGTCTGGGAATGGTGTTTTGGGAACACGAAGAACACGAAGTGGCATGCAGTTGGCTCCGGGCATTTAAAATGTGGCCTGGGAATTGCGTTCTGGGAACACGAAGAACACGAAGTGGCCTACAGTTGGCTCCGGGCATTCAAAGTGTGGTCTGGGAATGGTGTTTTGGGAGCACGAAGAATAGGAATCCATAGGGAACTATAGGAATCTGTAGGAGTCCTGGGGAGTCCCCGGGTTCCCCGGCTTCTCCCGGCACCCGCCCAGACCCCCCTGAGGAGTCAAGATGCTCTCTTTTGAGCCCACTAGAAACCTATCAGTCTTCGCTGTTTGGTAATTTCAAAATGACAAATCTAAAAGCGGCGAATGCGGGAGGGGGCCCACATCGGGGGCGCCCCCAGAAAGCTCGGGCCGCTCGCAGCCGCGCTCGGCCCAAATCGCCCCCCCCGCCGCCCCGCCCCGCCCCGAAATAATCGCATCCGCTAACTCGAGAGGCCGGGCTCGCTCTCTACCTCCGATCACTTCCTGGAACGCCCTGGCGTCGGTGAGCCCGCGAGCCGCTCGGCCCCTCCCAAAAAAAAGCCAGACCCATTTCTGCCGTTCCTCGTTCTTGGCCACAAGATGCGCGGCCTCGCGGCGGGCCGCTTTGCCTGGGGCCCTCGAGACTCTCGGTCTAGACTGGCTCTGTCGCCTTGAAGAAAAAACGCGAGACTGACTGTCCAGACGATCGATCGCGCACTCACTTCAGCCTGTCGGCGTGGACGAAGAAACGCCGCCTAAAGCAACGCCTTGTCCGCTCTCTTGCCTGCCTTGTCCTGGCCACCGCCGTCTACCACTGATCGTGGGATTCGAGCCCCGCGGGCAGCCGCGCCCCGCGCTGCCTCCCCTGTCGATGGTTGAAGACTCTGCGCGGGTTCAACTTTCAGCCTGTTCCACTTCGCGCCAAGTGGCCCTGAACGCACTTCGAACTTGGCCCGTTCTGGCCTCGTGGCGCCGCGCCCATCGGGAATTTCACATTCAGCTCCTCGCAAAAAGACGCCCAGCACTCGCCGACCTCATCGCCGCCCATGGCCAATAAATTGTGTCTTGAAATTCTGGCCACGGCCGTAGTCACCTAGCACAGACTGGCCTCGCAATGGCTGGTACCTTCCTCGGCTGACATGGCGCGGGCGACATGTCGACATCCTCGACGTCCTGTGCAGCTTGAGTCCAGATGGGGGAAACTTGAACGCATCGCTGCGCAGTCAACGACCGCCCCAATAACGATTTACGCACGGGTAGCCGAGTTCGGCGCTGACACCGCTCCACCACGCGCGGGCGCCCACGACGCGAACTATCCTGGCTCCAGGCGGGCGCGTGCCCCGAACAACCATTCGCATCCCAACTCCCTCGCTCGCATGGGGCGCGGCGCCGCGCTCGCCCGGATTGCCGCGCTCGTCGGCCCCAACTTTTCTTCGACGTGCAGGTATCCGCTGACCGCAATGACCCCGCCCTTCACCGCCGCGCGCGCGATCTGCCCCCGCGCGCGCTGGAAATGGGACCCCACCCAAACTCAACGGAGAATATAATGACCAGCGTGCGCCTTGGAGCCAGAACTGCGACTCCGCCACTCGCGCCCCGCCTGCTGCGTCGGGCGCCTTCGCCGAGACCACGCGGCGCCCCGCTGCAGCTGCGTGAGCCTGGACATCTAGAAGCTCGGCTCAAACAAGTGCCCCGAGCACGCAGCGCTATCGGAGCACCCGCTAGAGACGACGTCTTCGACTCCAACAACTGACCCAACGGCCCCGGCGACACAGCATTTGCTTTTGTAGCTCTCACAGATGCCACTCATTTGACGGCGCGAAGCATCGTGACGAGCGAGAGCAACGCCTCAGATGTGGTCGGCGGGGTTGCGGCGCGCCTCACGAGGGAACTTCTCGAGCTCCTCACCTGCCCTTTTCGCCTCCTCGCAAAGTGGCTCCTCTGCGTCGCGCACTCCGACGGTTGCCGACCCGAGGACATGTCAGAGAAAACCCGGGTCATCCGCGCACTGGGGGACCCCGCCCTGTCCCGCTGCAGCGCCGGCCGCCGCGGCGGGGCCTCTCCTGGACCACCTGCCGCAGGAGCGCCGCTGCGTGAGGCAGTTCCTGGGCCGCCTGCCCCTGAAGCCCTCCGCAACGACGCGTCAGGCTTCCTCTGCCCGCGGCCTGATCTGGTCCGCCTGAGCCTTTTCGGCCGCGCGCGCTTCCTCGAGCGCCCCGCGCATTTTCTCCGCCGCGCCGCCTGGGGCTTCAAAACCCGGCGGCAGCTCGCCCGAAGGCTCGACGGGCAGGTCCGCCGCCGCGCCCAGCACCCGGCGCTGCGACTGAAGCCCGCCGCGCCCGCCCGCGCGCGGCAAGGGCGCCCCCGCCACGGGCGCGCGCTGAGATCCCACCATTTCGAACAGCTCCTTCTCGGCATCGCCCAGCGCACGCTGCGCCTTCGCCACCGCCGCAGCCGCTGCTGGCATCTTCTCCTGGAGGGCCTGCACTGCGGCCTCTGGGTGCCCCGACTTCTTCTGGAGAGTGGCGCGCAGGAAAGGATGCATTCTTGGAGCGCGTGTCCAGCGGCTTGGCAGCCGCCAACTTCCCGCGCAACGTACTCTGTCGCTCCCTGAGGTTCGCGCGCGCCTTCTTGACTTCAACTGCGTCGATGCCCTCGACAGCTTGATGTTAGCCGCGACCTTTGCCAGCTGCATCTTCATGTCGCCCTCAGGGCCCGCGTCGCCGTCGTCCACCTCCATGGGCTCGTCAGACCTCGGGGGGTTCTGGCAACCGGAGCCGTGAGCTGCGCCAACTCATTCCTGACCCGCCTGAGCTCCTGCTCCGCATTGGCACTGCTGGATGGCCCTGCAGCTCGCTGTGATGGCAGCTCAGGAACCTTGGAAAACGCGAGCGCCGAGCTCTTGTGCTGCTGGCACTTGCTGCACCGCATGAAGTCTGACATGTTCCACCACCGATCACGTGAAGTCGACCTGCAGCGCTTACTGTGACATGGAACTGCCCACGCCATGCGATTGGTCTGGTGACCTGGGTGCAACGGACCGCGTCCAGCACCTCCATCTCGGGTCATGTTTCGCGGCCTGTCGTCTGCGCCCACGTGGTGTAAAACAACACGCTGAAGGACGCGGGCTGGTACCACACTGCAGTATGTGAACGGGAGGATGTGTCCCGAGCCTGGGCAAGCTGCTGAATGGACACCGAACTGTTGGGGGGCGCTCCTCCCCCACGCCACAGAGTCAAATCCTGAGCGAAACGCTACGGACTTGAGCCCAAATAGCCCCAGACAGGAAGAGGACGAAGGAGGAAAAAGAGGAGGAGATTTGAGGGGGAAGGGAATCAGAGGGGGAGAAGCGGCGAAAGCCTTTGGAGCGACAAATGTGAACAGGGGCACCGGGAACAAAACATGAGGACGAGGCTGCTCAGGACGACAGTGGTTCTCGCAGACGGCTCGCGGCCAGATGCAATGGATTGACGTAGTCGTGGGCCCAAAACTGCTTAAACAAAACACCTTCCTTGAGGAACTGCAAGTCTGCGCGGGCGTTTGTCTTGACCAAGCCCATGGTTCTAAACCTCGACATAATTAGGAACCCGTCGACCCCGGAGGGGGGCGTACATGCATGTACCGGGCCCATGAGAAGTGAATGTCATCTTGTGGATGGGAGAACCCCAAATACCTTGCTAGCATCTAGCACCACGAGTGGCATCGGGAAGGCCAACAACGCCACACATCAAAGACATCACGAGTACGAGTATGGCACAAGCGGTAGATGTCATCGTTCCAATCTGATTACTTGCCTGTTGCAGCGAATTACATCTAAAAGCCGACTCCAACAAACAACAATTACGCACCTACAATAAATGCACGAGCAATCACAATTCCTAATTCCCCAATCGGCGCTTGCACTGAAGAAGTCCTCGCAAGCGTTGAACGATGTGACGAAATGGCTGGGTCGATATCAATTGGCGGCCGGGTATCCAGATTCCCGATGCCAGGCCTTGGTGAAAACTCCACGCCGATTCCAGCAAGCGGTCGGAGTCCCACGTTCCCCAGAATAAAGAAAATAGAGGAACTGGGGGGAGCAGAGAAGGTATGCGTGTTACACCACAGAAAGAAATTTTCAGGAAACGCAGGGACAAGAGACTAGGATCCACCTAGGCTCCACAATGCCATTGCCAGACAAGAGCGAGCGGGTGCTCGAGCTGTCCTGCCAGGGCCGCGTGGCTCGAATGCCCAGTGTAAGGAAACCAGGCGCGGGCGCCGATCTGCTCCTGGCAGTTCGCCCGCAGCTGGCGGCGACCTTTGCGCAAGACGGCGTGGGTGGGTCGCGGGGCGGGTCGCGGGGCGGTTCGGGATGCCCAGGAGCCTCTGCAAAGAGGCCCGCCGCAGGCGCGGACTCCTTCCGCCACCCGCCTGCCGCCCACACCACTACTGAGCCGACCGTCCAGAGGGACTGAGGCAGAAGACTGCGCAATTGGCAACTCTTCGGGGCATGCTGGAAAGACCACTCAAAATGATTGCGTGCGGGAGGAAGGTCGACTGCGAAGCAAAAGTGGTGCGCGTCAGGAATGCGACGAAGAGAGGCGGAGCGCTGATGCAGAAAACAAAGGGCCCGACTGTCATGCTGGAAAACCAAGAGGACGGAAAAAGAAGGGAAGAGGAGAGGAGGAGTGAGGAATCGCAAATGCAGAGACTGCTCGGTGTTCTCAGAGATTCCTCGACGACCTCGAGGCTGCAAACGCCCGCTGCGGTCGGAGCCGCCCGCGCCCACGCTTCACATCCAAATTTTTCGGCGTCCGATTCGTGGCCGCTGGCGGTGTTTCAGCCTTGAACGCCCGCGCTTGGGTCGCCGCCGCATCGACACGACACGAGCCTTGCGTAACCAAGCATACCTGGCCCGCTCCTCCCTGGTATGGTCTGGACTTCCCTGCTCCCTAGGGCTCCCCCGGGGCACCGCCCTCCGTGGGCCCTGGAACCGGCAGAGCTGCTCGTCGACCGTTTTCACAAGTCTGCCTCTTGATCAACTTAGGGTCATCTTCCTGTTCAAATTTCTGCCTCGTGTTGGAAACAAAAGGTGGACCTCTTGTCCCAAATTCCATGTTGAAACGTCAAATTCCTCATGGAACCCAAATTCTGCCTCGTGTTCAAGATTCTAAACAAAACGGTTCACCTCAACAATACACAAAACTGCTCACCGCAACGGCCTGGGCAATCGGGGGATCCGAAAGGCTTCCAGAACTGGTCCGGAAACGGTTCGGATCTGGTCAGATGACTGTGATTCGAACCAGGCCCCCAGCAGCGGAACGAAGCGGTAAACTAAACAGCGCCAAAAACGTAAACAAAACTGTTCCGAAAACTGCACGCAAAAACTGAAACCTAAAACGGAAAAACAAAGCGCCCTGTCGCCCACGTAGCACCGCCACCCGCAGCACTGTTTCGCGACGGTCATCCCTGCGCCGCGGGCCGGCCGCTTGCCAGCCTCAGAGACGTGTCGGAGCCCTGGCGCGCCCCATGTGCTTCTGCCGACGCTGCCGTCCACTGCCCTTCCATTGCTTTGGCGGCGAGCCCATGAAGGCACGGCGGAGGGGGCAGGCCTTCTCAGAAAGCTCAGAAGGCCCCTGGCCTACGAAGCCGCAGACGGCATCTCAAAAAGCTGGAGGGCTTCGGAGAAGCCCCACCGTCTTCTGAGAAGACGCGCCCCATCTCAATTCCCCCCTGAGCTCGCCGACGATGTGTGTTCACGCTGCTGCTTTTTCTCACTCCATCTCCCTCTGCGGTCCTGAATTCTTCGCCTGAGGAGGGCTATCCCATCGCTCGCTTCATGGATCAGCGAGGGCAACGAGACAAGCGCACACCAAATCGTAGCAACGCGACGGGGAAAACTCAGTGGTAAGCTAAGAGGTCGCAGCTGGGACCAGGCAGCGCGACAGAATAGGAGGCAGGAGAGGACCAAGACTCCGAAGGAGAAGGAGGAGGGCGAGAGGAAGGCAGACATAGCCGGACGGCAGAAGTGGCGCGGAAGTGCGCAGAGGTGAAGAATTGACTGGTGACACCGGCATGAAGGATGGTCAAGACTTCCATCAATCTGAGTCCGGTCCTCCCAGGCGCACGGCTTATCGCAAGGACCATGTCGGTCTGGCGCTGTTTCCCGTCACTGGATCCTATCCCTTCGCCTGGGATTTCATGGCTGAGCTTCAACTGGTGTCCTGGTAAAACGATGACATGGTTGCTCCTCTTCCTCCTCCTCCTCCTCCTCCGTCTCTTCAATCTCCTCCTCGGCCGCTTCTGCCGCCCACGTCCCACCGAGCAGCGAGCGAAGAAACTGCCACCGCACATCGTGCTCGCCGCCGTGGCACCGAATTTAAGAAGAGGTAGATGTTCGATATGCTGCGAGGCGCCTGGGCTGGAGCAGCTGGCGATTCTCCACGTCGCTGTCGTGGCACTCGAATGAATTAGCCAGCACATTCCAATAACATTAGCAGCGCAGACGTGGTACACACGGCAGCCGTGCAGACGAAGACGCCGAGCAGGCTAGACGCCACATGTGCTACGACCGGGATGAGAATGCAAACTATGCCACGAGTCCCAAACAAACCGTTCCTGAACGGATCGCTCAATCACGCGTCAATGGCTCGCATCGCAGCGAATGGCCCTGGGTTGAGGAAGAGGACGGAGAGGACGACGACGAGCATAACAAGGAAACGGAGGTAGAGAAGAGAAGATGGAAGGATGAGGAAAAACATACGAGAAAGCCGATACAAAGGATACTGTGCCTGGACGGACGAGGAAACTCCGAGGAGAAAGGAGACACCTATCATAAGGGGAGCCCCAATAGCATGACGAGCGGTAGCAGCATCAGCAGCAGTAGCGGCATCCGATCCCTTCCTCCCATCCTTTCCCTTCCAATTGCGATATGTGTGTGTGTGTGTGTGTTTTTTTTTATCTGTATCCGCGGACGCGTGTCATAGCCGACCTGGAACTCCAAACAAGACTTCGTCGTGATATGCGCAGTCGTGGAAGCAGCAGGAGGACCAGGGGAAGGCGGAGGAGGGGAAATGAGGGGGTCGAGCCTGCGCCAGGGCGAGAGCGCCAATCTGAACGACGGGAGCACAGTGCCGATCCGAAAGTGAGGCCCACGCTGCAGCGGGAGCACCCATCGCAATATCGAACACAATCGGATAGCAAACATATAGAAGGAAAAAACGTGTTTGGAACCCAAGGACAAAATACCCTAGGCGTATCCAACTCCTTCGCCACGCGAGGCGAATACGTGCATGAATGTTCCATACAAAAGACCACATCGCCAGATATACACGATCTTCGCTGTCCTCATCTCCGACGTGCCTCCCACGGGCCTACGAACGTGGCGGCAAATGCGCACTTCGTAGCTACCCAAGGAGCCGCAAGGTGTCGGCTGGATCCGCGTGGCCCTCGACTCACTGGACATTCCATGAGCCCACGACAACGGCGCCAGTTGCGCGGTTCGCAGCCCCTCCAAGGGGCAGCGCGCTCTTGTCTGGGTGCGCGTGGCCCCCGACTGCGCTGGACCTCACAATTGCGCACGAAATCTATGATTGTTGCGCAGCTCGCAGCCACCCAGGGAGCAGCGAGGTCTCGACTGGGTGCGCGTGGCCCCCGACCCCGCTGGACCTCCAGGAGCCCACGATAGTGTTGACACATGTGGAGTTCGCAGCCACCCAGGGGGCAGTGAGGTCTCGACAGGGTGCGCGTGGTCCGCAACCCCGCTGGACCTCCAGGAGCCCACGAACGTGGTGACATATGTGCAGTCCGACGCCACCCAGGGAGCAGCGCGGTCTCGTCTGTGTGTGCGCGCCCCCCCCTTTCCGCTGTGCCTCCCAGGAGCCCACGAAAGTGGCGCCAGCAGATGCGCAGTTCGCAGCCACCCAGGGAGCAATGAGGTCTCGACTCGGAGCGCGTGGCTCCCGGCTCCGCTGTGCCCCCCAGCAGCCCACGAAAGTGGCGCCAGCTGCGCAGTTCGCAGCCCCCCAGGGAGCAGCAGTGTCTCGTCTGGATGCGCGTAGCCCCCCGACTCCGCCGTGCCCCCCAGGAGGCCAAGAAAGTTGCGACGGTTGCGCAGCTCGCGCCCAGCCAGGGAGCAGCGAAGTCTCGTCTGGGGGCGCGTGGCCCCCGACTCCGCCGTGCCTCCCAAGAGCCCACGACAATGCCGCCAGTTGCGCAGTTCGCAGCCACCCAAGGAACAACGAGGTCCCGTCTGGATCCGCGTAGTTACTCTCCTACTCCGCCGTAACCCCCACACCCCCACGAAAGTGGCGACGTTTGTGGAATTCGCAGCTACCCAGGGAGCTGCGAGGTCCCGCCTGGGTGCACTTGGCCCCCGACTCCGCCGTGCCTCCCAGGAGCCAACGAACATGGCGCCAGTTGCGCAGTTCGCAGTCCCCCAGGGAGCTGCGAAAACCCGTCTGGATGCGCGTATTCCCCGACTCCACCGTATCTCCCAGGAGCCCATGAAAGTGGCGGCAGCTGCGCAGTTCGCAGGGGGCTGCAAAGTCTCGTGTGGATGCGCATGCTCCACGACTTCGCCCTGCCCCCCAGGAGCCCACGAAAGTGGTGACAACTGTGCAGCTCGAAACCACCCAGGGAGCAGCGCGGTCTCATCTGTGTGTGCGCGTGGCTCCCGACTCCGCTGGACCTCCCAGGAGCTCACGAAAGTGGCGCCAGAGCTCACGAACGTGGTGACACATGTGCAGTTCGACGCCACCCAGGGAGCAGCGCGGTCTCGTCTGTGTGTGCGCGTGGCCCCCGTCTCCGCTGTACCTCCCAGGAGCTCACGAAAGGGTCGCCAGGTGCGCAGTTCGCAGCCACCCAGGGAGCAGCTAGGTCTCGTCTGGGTGCGCGTGGCTTTCGACTCCGCCGTGCCTTCCAGGCGCCCACGAAAGTGGCGCCAGTTACGCAGTTCGCGGCCCCCCCAGGGAGCTACGAAGTCTCTTTGTAAATGCGCGTACTCCCCGACTCCGCTGGGCCTCCCAGGAGCCGACGAGAGTGGTGACGCCTGTGAAGTGCGAAGCCCACCGGGGAGCAGCGCGGTCTCGTCTGTGTGCGCGTGGCCCCCGGCTCCGCTGTGCCCCCCAGCAGCCCACGAAAGTGGCGCCAGTTGCGCAGTTCGCAGTCCCCCCAGGGAGCCACGAGGTCCCGCCTGGGCGCGCATGCTCCCCGACTCCGCCGGGCCTCCCAGGAGCCCACGAAAGCGGCGCCAATTGCGCAGTTCGCAGTCCCCCGAGGAGCTGAGAGGTCCCGTCTGGGCGCGCGTACTCCGCGACTCCGCCGTGCCTCCCAGGAGCCGACGAAAGTGGCGGCAATTGCGCAGCTCGCAGTCACCCGAGGAGCTGCGACGTCCCGTCTGGGCGCGCGTACTCCGCGACTCCGCCGTGCCTCCCAGGAGCCCACGAAAGCGGCGACAGTTGCGCAGTTCGCAGCCACCCAAGGAGCAGCGCAGCAGGAGGCAGGAGGAGGGGGGATGAGGAGAGGAGTCGCGACCGCGAGGTAGGAGGAACGAGGGAGGCGGAGGAGGAGGAGGAGAGGTCGCGACCGCAGCGCTTTATTCAAAACGCGGACCCAACACAGGAGGGCTGAGTAAAGATCAGCGGCGCAGGAGACGGCCAGGCAGCCGCGCGCACCACTCCCTCATGTCTAGGGCGTTGCTTGATGGGGGGGCCAGAAAACGGGGGAGGGGGGAGAGAAACGTGCGCCTTTCGTGCCCCTGCTGGGCCACAGGGGGCCCCCATAGGGCCCCCTTGGGGCATGAAAGGTGCAAGCTTCTTCTATATACCCCCCCATGTAGCGCCCCCCCCCCCATTACGCAACGCCCAACCATCTGCCCGCCCCGCCCCTCCGGGAGCGCTGCGTGGGTGGCGTTCCCCGTCTGCCAGGCCTGCGGGCGACGGATGGGGGGGCGAAGACACTCCGACGCCGAGCGCGGAGGACAGAATGTTCCGCCGCCGCCAACGGAGGGGGCAGGAGAACCCGTCCACTGCAGATCAGGGTAGGCTGTTACCATGTCCCGATCACCAGGGACGTCCATTCACTAAATCACCGATCCTGGCCAGGCAGATTATTGACCCACGACCAGTGCACATGATGTTGCTTTTTGTCGTGTCCGGTAGCGCTCGTTACCTTGGCTGGGGTGTGGGATGGGGCTCCGGGTAATGGTAAAGCTTGGGCGAGGTGGGGCACGTCGGGGCGGGGGTGCGCTGCGATCGCCGCCGGCATGCAAGAGCTCGGCAAAGGAGGAGGAGGAGGAGGAGGCGGAGGAGGGAGGAGGAGGAGGAGAGAGGAGGAGGAGGAGGAGGGAGGGGGGAGGAGGAGGAGGAGGAGGAGGAGGAGGAGGAGGAGGAGGAGGAGGAGGAGGAGGAGGAGGAGGAGGAGGAGGAGGAGGAGGAGGAGGAGGAGGAGGAGGAGGAGGAGGGAGGAGGAGGAGGAAGGAGGAGGAGGAGGAGAGGAGAAGGGAGGAGAAGGAGAAAGGAGGAGGAGGAGGGAGGAGGGAGGAGAGGAGGGAGGAGAGGAGGAGGAGGGAGGAGGAGGAGGAGGAGGAGGAGGAGGAGGGAGGAGGAGGAGGGGGGGCGGGCGGCTCCGCCCTCAGACCTGGGTCGGCCACAGGCAGTCCTGGGGGGCGTGTCTTAGGAGGCAGCTCCTGGGAGGTCTTCGTCGGAACGGCTGAGGATTAAGTCGGGCGTTGGCAGAACTGTTTTTAGTGGGACCTGGTTTGGTGATGTGTGCTGGGGGCCGCCCCCCCCCCCCCCCGCCCCGTTCCACTAACCAGAACTGCCGCCATCCGAAAAAAACGCCATCTACGGCAGACCTGGTTTCGTGATTCTGGCCAATTTCGGGGCTCCGGGGCCCTACCACGAACCGGGTCCCCTTACCTGGGGTCCTGGCTATACCCGATTAAAGGCTATGAAGTCGGATAAGAGGGCCGCTGAGCAGGACCAAACCGGATGAGGCCCACGGATTAAGCCCCACTGGGCCAGATTCAGCGGAAAAAGATGGACTCATCGTGACTATGCCAGAGCAGGCTGATTTTTGACCGCGGACATGCCCGCGCCGATGCTGATTCGAACCTCCCAGGAGGTGCATCCTAGTCCGTCCCCGGGCTCCCCTTCCTTTCCGAGCGGCCAGATTTGCAAGGAGGGATTGGCCGACCCCCGCCAGCGCCGACCCGCGCTGCATGCACCCCGAGAGGTGCACACCTCCAGGCTAGCCCGGGTGCCTTTCCCTCCTCCGCCGATCGCCCCCAGTGCAGTCAGGCAGCCTCCTACCCCCCGGGGTGGAGGCGGAGGAGGAGGAGGAGGAGGAGGATCAAGAGGAAGCAGAGAAGAGGACCGAGGAATGAGGAGGGAGGAGGGGGAGGAGAGAAGAAGAGGGGAGAACCGATCCCCAGACGACCCCCTGTGACTGCATTGGAGGTGCTGATAGCAATGTCATTGGCCTTGTGACCCCCGCTCCTGGGCCATCTTGTAGCGTCGGGGGTCTTCTGCGCCTCGCAAGGGGCTGCTTTGTAGGCATACGTGGCCTCCCCTCGCAGCTCTGGGGGAGCACCCTCGGGCGGGACCACTTCTGTCAACGCCCCGCTCCTCATCCACAGACTCCTTGCTTGCGCCAGCGTAGAGTGTGAAGCCATCGCGGGCTGGGTGTGAACCCGTCGCGGCCTCCACGGTCTCCCCTTCTTCCTGCTCGTCCTGCCCTCACCTGGAACTGATGCACACAGTGGTTGAATCAGGTCGAGACGATGCTGAGGCGCTCAGTGAGCTTGCATCGACACTGCGATTCATGTAGTGCGGAGGCTGGCGTTGTCCAGCAGTCGGCGCTCGCACGTGCGAGACTTGGGATGGTTGGAAGGCGGGCTGCGCCAAATCCTGGTACAACGGACGGCTCGCGCTCTTGCCGAAACACCCCTCAGCCAATGTTCAATATTCGGGGGACCTTCTTTGCCCAATCGCGCCGATTTCCGCATCGAATCCATTTCGAATCCACGCAAAAAACCAACGTCGAATCCGCGTCGGACTTACATGGCAGACATCCGGATGTTCGACATCCGCCGGCCCCCGTGTGGGGCCTCCAGGCTGTGAGCCATCACGTTACATTGGCTTCAATGTTGTTGTGGTGGTGGATGTGGGCGATGGAACGTGGCATCTGTGCTGTGTCAATATATGTCGCAGCGGTTTTTGTTCTCAACACGCCCAAGGGGGCGACGCCGACACCACGGCAACCATGCGTCCCACGCCCCAGCCGACGAAGCTGGCACCGCGCCGAACCCCACGGCAAACCCACCGCGTCCGAGGAGGCGTTTGCCCTAATGCCCGCGGCGCCCTTCCCAAGACGCAAGGTCGCGCGTCGGAACAAACGGCGCGGCGACATATGCAAGACTCCTCCATAAGCGCCTATCATACTCGAGCGATGTGATTCCTGGCCCCCGCGGGCCCACGCCAAGCACGGAGGATCCGCGCTCTCAGGGCCACGATCCTTAACAAGCCTCACCTCTGGGCGCAAAGGGGAAGCTGTTGCTTTTTTTTTGAGAGGCCGCCGCGCGCCAGCCGATCGCCGCCGCCCACGAGCTCCACCCGCGGCGGCGCGGGGCCGCCCCCCAGCTCCACCGAGCGTTAACCTAGCGCACCGCGTCGGCCACCGCCACCCTCCGGCGCAGGCGAAGCGGAGGGCGTCACGCGGCCGCCGCGCCGTCGCCGCCGCCCGCGCCCCGGAACTCCACCGAGGCGGCGTGCGGCACATTGTAGGTCCGCATCACCTCGGCCGTGACGCTGTCGGCGGTGCTCGTCTCGATCGCGAGCGTCTGGTTGCCCCCCCGGCTGTGCAGCTCGAACTCCACGAAGCCGCCGGCCCGGTGGCAGCGCTGCACCAGCTCGTACATCTGCCTCAGGTTGACCACCTGCTCTCCGTTGACGCCCACCACCCTCTGGTCGATCATGTCGGAATACCCGGCGGTCCGCCTCGTCGGGAAGACGTGGCTGAGGATGATGGGCTGCTCCTCGGGTATCGTCTGGACGTTGTCGTACATCAGCAGCAGCAGCTCAGCGGGTGCGTCCGACAGCCATCTCTGCCCCCACTCCTGCAGGTACGTCTTGGTGAGCGGCATGAAATTGAGCCCGCCGTACAGGAAGTACGGCTGCTTCTCGTCGTAGATGGTCGATGGCACAAGGGATGGTACAGGGCAAGTGGGCACCGAGAGCTCCAGCTCTTCCCCTTGGCGGAAGACCTTCATACGCACCTCCTCTCCCGCATACTTGAGATGGATCAAGTGCTGGAAAGAGAGCCGCTCCTTTTGGCCCACCGCGAAGGTTCCATCGTTTGCTATGTCATGACCTTCTATATTCATGATCACATCTCCACGCTGCAAGAACTGCTTTGTGATGACAGTCGGGGACACTCTGCAGATGAGGACGCCAGTTTGGCCATCCTTCAACTTCAAGTTGGCCCGCAACTGCTCGTTTTCCGTATTCTGAAACTTCACTCCCAGCGAACAGAACCCCAAGCAACGGTGGTGATCCTTGGGGTCCACATCATTCAAAAAATGGGTTATTATCGGCACTGGTATGACGTACCCGATGTTCTGCGACTGGCTCTGGTTCTGAAAGGCGACGCCGATGACCTCGCCTGCCTCGTTGAGAGCCGGCCCTCCAGAATTGCCGGGGTTAATCGCGGCATCGATCTGAATTGTGAGCAGAGACCGGCCCGAGTGAGCGTACTGCCTAACCTCGATGCGGGAGACCACGCCCTGGGTGATCGAGATGCCCGCTCCGCCTTCGGGGTACCCCACGGCGGCCACCTCGTCCCGCAGGTGGGGCATGCCCCCGAAGGACATCGGCACCATCCCCTCCCAGAACTCTGGGTCCTCCACCGTCAGCAAGGCCAAGTCGCACTCGTGCGCTATCTTCGCCCTTGTCGCCTGATACTTGGAGGCATCGCCGGCTCGCTTCACTTCCA